GCATCTGCTGTTCCTCCTGTTAACATTCAATATTGTCAAATATTCTCCCATCGAGCACATCTCTGGCTTTCCACCAGATTGCGTGAGCTGCCACGTTTTGTCTTTCGCCCATAGGTCTCCACTCCAGCTCACTCAACATCTTCATCCGGCTGCTGTCGCGCCTTTACGCCTATTTTATCTGGTTCTGGTTCTGGCCATGGCCAGCACTGGCTGCTGCTTGTTAGCCAAGCCGTCGCACAGCTGTCGCCGCTGCTTGGATCAGCATGAACTTTTGCTTTCATTTCACGCTGGGGAGCAATATTTTGGCCTCTTTTTTTTTTACTCCAGCTTTGAAGTTGACTCCATGAGCGGATGAGCAGATGCCGCGACTCGACTCGAGTGCTGCCCATCCATGCTTCATTTTATTATGCAACAAAATAGAGAGAGAGAGAGAGAGAGAGAGAGGGGGAGAGAGAGAGGGAGATAGTTGCCGAAAAAAACTTACTTGTTGTGTATATATAAAAAACTTGACGCGACATTGTCGTAAATAAGAGACAAAAACTTTCCCATCCATGCCACGAGAAATATATATCCCAGTTAGTTAGAGAGACGAAAAGAAAAACCGATAAACTTGTGAATGAATATGATAAGTTTGTTGTTGCTTTACGCATTGTTATTGCCAGGAGCAGGGGCGGGGGGCGTGGCGAGTGGCAAGTGGGAGCAGCCATAAATTTGTGCTAATCCAATGTGGGCACAGTTTATAGGTGAAGTGAACTTTATGGATACTTGAGCGCCAACTTTGGAGATACTTTATGCTATTTCTCATATGCATGACTGCCAGAGAGAGAGTCTGAGTGTGTGTGTGTGTGTGTATGTGTGTGTGTATTGCTTGAAAGTTTTATGACTTGTGAAGCATGAAATGTGCAACAAATTGTGGCTGAAAGATGAGCGCAGACCAGAAGCGGAACACTCCATCATATATGTATGTGTGTATGTGTGTGTGTCTGTGTGATTCATTGATACATTTAATATTTCCCAAGTCAATTGGCTTGTGTTAAATATCAAAGTTTCCCTTGCTTGTGTGGGGGGACTAAGAAAGTAGGTGCGAGCGCCTGGGCAGTGGCTAAACTGATATATGATTAACTGAGGAGCTTGTGATACTCTTTGAAAATGAAATGAAGGTGGGGTATAATAGACTTCTGGGTAGGAGACGGGCTGATCTCGTCTTTTTCTCTGTCTGTCATTCTCGTCTTGTCATCATTTCTTTAACTCTAGCTCCAGCTTCCTCTGGTCTGCGCTTATTAGCAGTCTCTATCTCTCTCTCTCTCTCTCTCTGTATATTTTTATTGTTATCTAGCTCTAGCGAACTGCTTCTTTTTCTCTATAGCTCTGCCTTTCTCTTATCTGCAGTTGCTCTCTGTATATTTTGTTCTTCTTCTTCCTCTCTCCCTTTCTCTGTCCCTCGACCTCACCTTTCTCTCCTCTCTCTCTTTCTCTGTCATTCATTCTCTGTCCTTCATTCTCTGTCACCCTCTGTCTGTTTTTCTCTCTCTCTCTTTTTCCTTGTCCCTGTCTCTCTCTCTATCTCTTTCTATTTCCCTCTCTCTGTCTTTCTCTCTACTCCTATCTTTGTTCCATTTTCTCTGTGCTTCTCTTTTTTCTCTCTCTCTGTCCCTCTCCTTCTCTATCTTTCTGTATATCCTGAAGACTCTCTATGGCTCGCCATCTCTCTGTCCCTGTTTCCTTCTTTCTTCCTCTGATCACTTTCCTTCTTTATCTTCATTCTCTCTCTCTCTCTCTGTCTGTCTTTTCATATATACCTGTCTATCTTATTCAAACTCTCTATAGATAACTCCGCATCTCCCTCTCTCTCTCTCTGTATCTCTGTCACTCTCTCTCTCTGCTTCTCCCTCCTAGAGAATCATATAATCATACCCAAACAAGACTTTACATAAAATAGAACATGATTTAATGAAACATTACAACATATTCTATGGCAAAGAACAAAATCATGTTCATACCACACGCTTGACCTCGAAGAAGCGCTTCAGATAGTAGATCTCAATGACAGTCATGCCCAGCAGCAGCGAGGGCCCAAAGATCGACCAGGCCACCAGGCGAAAGTGCACATTGGCGCTGAGCTGCAGATGTCCCTTGTAGCGGCCGTGCATGTACTCCTGCTCGTGCTTCACGACAATCAACTGGCTGGAGAGCTCATTGATGTCCGCCTGCAGCGCCGACTGCTCGACCACGTCGTCGGTGCGCTTCTGCGGATCGATGTAGTGGCCAATGTCCTTGACCACGGTGAAGTGAAACATCAGCACTTTCGGAGTCAGCGTCGACTTGGAGTTGTCGAAGCACAGCGTGTATTGGCCATCCTTGCTGGCCGCGAACGTGTACTTGCCGCTGGTCTCGGTCTCGGCATGGTAGAGCACCTCATTGCCTGGTGCCAGAATGTCCACGGCAATGTCCTTGAAGCCGCCCTCCATCACCTCAAAGCTAATCGCCACCTTGTCCTGCACCTGTGCCCGATCGAAGAAACAGGCCGTATCATGGGCGTCCACTGTGACGAGAAAGCCGCGAGCCGCTGGCAGCAACACCAAAATGCCCAAGAAAATCAACATTTCGAAATTTCCTTTTGAATTTGTATTTGTTGTATGCGT